AAAATAATAATAATAATAATAATATTAAACTGACTCTAAGTAAATTTTTCTTTTAATTTACTCGCGCGTATGAAAGAGATTAAAACGATTAAAGCAGACGAGAACGAGAGAAACAGCGACGACAGCAACAAACACAGCAACAGCGATTACGTTAATAATAATAATAATAATAATAATGATAAGGATAAATACGTAAGTTTTTGACGCAATAATAAACTGCTTCGAGTTTTCAACTAAATAAATAAATAAATAAACGGAAATTTTTTTTTTTTTTTTTTTGTGTGTTTTTTCCGCGTTAGTGAACATTTTTTCACGAAGGTACGAAACGAACGAATTGCATCCGTCATCGTTGTCGTCGTCGTCGTCGTCTGCTTTTCTCATCCATTATAAATTAATTACCAAACAACAACAACAAAAACAAAACAACTCGCAACAAATTATTGATTTTAAATTTCTTTTCTTCGGGAGAGAGAGAGAGAGAGAGAGAGAGAGAAAACATGAATGCATAATCGTCTTTTTCAACCGAACGTTTTTCCATTCAATTTGAATTTATTTACTTAAGAAAAAAAAAAAACTTATTCGATGACGTCAGGTCAAATGCGTCATACGTAAAACAATCAACGTTTCATATTATGAACTTTTCAAAGGGGGAAAATCGAACGCAAAGCTTTTCTCTTCTTCTCCCTTCGAATTTCCTTTCATTTTTTTCTTACCTCTCACGTCATCATCATCATCGCGAACGCACGCACACACTCACGCACGCACTCTTCTTCTCACAATAGAGCAAACAATATTAGAAAATGTCAAAGGGTTACACGACGAACGAAAACAAAAATAAAAAAAAATTTTTTTTTATCCTCCGCCTCCGCCTCGACTCGGATTCTGCCGCTGTCGCAATGACAAATCGAAAGAAACAAAATTGGGAGGAGCGGGAAGTGGGGGAGTAAGAGGAGAATAGAGGGAGGATTTCGCGTGGTCGTAGAAAAAAATGAAAAAAAAAAAAAAAAAAAAAAAAAGAGGCGGTAAAAATATAAAAAAACGTGGGAGTAAACAAAAAGAAAAAAAAAAAAAAAACCTTTCGCGAAAATTCACAATGCACAAAAAACGAGACGTTTCACACCTGAAATCACTTCGACAAAAAATAATAATAATAATAATAATAATAATAATAATAATAATAATAATAATAATAATAATAATAATAATAATGATAATAATGTTCTTTCTTCTTTTTTTTTTCTCTCTCTCGAGATTTTCCGTTTTCCTCTTTCCTCCTTCTATCCTCTCTCTCTCTCTCTCTGTCTCTCTTCCCTTGATAAAATTTAAACGTAATCTAAACGTGTGTTGACGTCAATGTCACAATAATAATAATAATAATAATAATAATACTGATACTTTTCGAAACGAAATAAAAAAAAAAAAAAACATGCGGAATTTAAATTTTCTAATATTATTACTACTCATCATCATCATCATCATCATCATCGTCATTATTATCATTATCAACCAGAGAGGGAAAAAAATTGAGAAGGTCGCGTTCAACCGTTCGTTATTATTGTTATTATTATTATTATTATTATTATTATTATTATTATTTATCCGATTATTTATTTACAATTTTTTTTTTTCGTAAACAATTTCATTTTATTAATCACTGCAACGCAAAAAGTCATAATGATTAATAATAATAATAATAATAATAATAATAATAATAATAATAATAATAATAATAATAATAATAATAATAATAATAATAATAATAATAATAATAATAATAATAATAATAATAATAATAATAATAATAATAATAATAATAATAATAATAATAATAATAATAATAATAATAATAATAATATCAACACAACAACCGAACGAAATTATTAAATTTCCGATTATTACGCATTAATCATTTGCAGTAGAGAAAAAAAAAGAAAAAAAAATGGCGACATCGAATAAGAGAAAAATGAAACATTGGCAAAAACTTTTCTTTTTTTTTTTTTTTTTTTTTTTTTCCTCATTGGATGCAACAAACGGTTTCACCGGATGTGACGTGTGTTCGAATCGAAATAAGCAAACACAAAACTCGAGACTGAATGCTCAGAGATTGAAAAACCAAAAAAAAAAAAAAAAAAAAAAAAACGTTTTTAAAATTTATAAAGGACGTCGGTCGGTCGATCAGTCGATTCATCCCTTCTTCCTACTTCCTTTCCCTACCCCTCCCCTTCCCTCCTTCCCTCCCCACGTCGTACCGACACGACATTTTATCATCATTATTATTATTTTGTTTTTCGTCAAACTTATTTTGCGTCGTAATTTCGATCGAACGTTCGATCGACTTGTTGCATTTTTGCGCGGTTCGTTGTTTAAATTTTGTTTACTTTCCCCGCCGCCACCGGCGCCGCCGTCGCCGTTAAAAGATACTCCACAGGGAGAAAGAGAGAGACAGAGAGAGAGAAAGAAAAACGTCAGGAAGAGTAAGGTAGTGGAGGCAAAAACGGAAACGGAAATAAAAAAATAAAAAAAATTCAGTCGCGGGAGTCGGGGTGAGGGTGAGTAACACGTTCAATAATATTTTTCGAGATTTTTCCCGCGGATTTTTCTTCTTCGTCTTCTTCTTATTTCCACCGTTCCCCCCCCTCCCCGTCGAAATCGAAAAAGCGGAAACGATAGATTTTTTTTCGACTTTATTACGCGCGCAACGCGTAGAAATTTTACGCCGCAAAATATATAATAATAATTTATTTTTCGTAAACGAATTTTTTTCTTTTTTTGGGGGGAAAAATTTTAATTTAAAAAAAAAAAAAATGAAAATGAAAATTCGAAACCTAAAACCGTTTTCCCTCTCTCTCTTTCTTTCTCTCTCTCTCTCTCTTTCTTTTCCTTTTTTTAAAAGCAAACTGAATACTTGAGAGAAGAAAAAAATTTTTTTTTCTGCCTTAAACCCCCCCCCCTCCCTCCCCTCCCCCTCTCTTTTCCTATTTTTTTTTTTTTTTTTTAAGAAAATAAACTAATGATAATGATAATGACAATCTTTCATCGTTTTCACAACATCGTGCCTACAAACAACAATTTTTAAAAAAATAAATAAACAAACAAACAAACAATCACAACAATAACAATAACAACACCACCACACAACTGCGATTCGCTTTTCGAATTCGTAAACAATAATGATAATAATAATAATAATAAACACATTAATGATAATAAAGACGACGACAATGACGATGACGATGATAATTATAATAATAATAATAATAAAGAAAAAAAACGGGATTACAACGCAATAGTAGTGACTGACTTACGAGACGCGAAGGGTAAACTAAAAGAAAATAATCTGGGCACGCACCCGCGCACGAGAAAACCAAAAAAAAAAAAAAAAATTAAAAGCCGGCAAAATGACGTAATTAATACGTCACACGCGACATCACACCTACTACTACCGCCGCGCACTCATTCACACTTTATTTAATTAATTCATATCAACTCACTTTTATTTATTTATTTACTTTTTTTTAACGAACAATTTTTTCAAATCCTGTCACTTATCACTCCGTCGTTTGTTTTCTATTTTTTTTTTATTTGAATTAATTTATTAAAAAATCCACAAAATGCGTTACAAAAAAAATTCGAGAAAAATAAATCGGGAGACAAACAAAAAAAAAAAAAAAAACAACAACAAACAAAAACAAAAATAAAAATAAAAAATAAAAATTCGACCGTGAATTCTCAACCACTCCAACGTGTACTGAAACGAGCCACGATTTTTTTTTAATCGAGGCAGAGGAATGAGAGAGAGAGAGAGAGAGAGAGAGAGAGAAAAGAGCAAATGTAGCGAATGCAAGAGTGTGAGCGAGAGAGAGATAAATGACACGATACGTTGCCAACATCGCGAGCGCTCGACGATTGTAGCGGGAAAAAAACGAACTAAAAATGGCTACGTCATAACTTTCAATTCGAATCTCATTTACCACTACCACCACTACTTCCCATACCGAACGGTAAAGAAAAAACGAAAAAAAATTTTTTTTTAAAATAAAATTTAAATAAATTTATGGCGATCATCGATCTTTATAAAATATTATTTAATAAATTTCCCACAATTTTCACGATAAAACGATTCGATAATCGTTAAGGAAATCGATGGCATTATGAAACCGATTTTAAATAAACCCGGAAGTAATAATCATTCGCGCGCTTTTTTTTTTCTTCTTGTTTCCTTTCAATCGACGACGACAAAACGAGAGAGGAAAAAAAATTGTAAATTGTTACGAAGACGACAACAACAACAACAACAACAACAACAAACGCCTGTATAAGAACGCACAAACGAACGTCAAAATGGCTGCTGACACGACCATTTTTTTTCTTTAAACATTAACGTTTAAATTAAAAAAATTCGTTTTCTTTCTTCCCCGCCCCCCACACCCTTCACCGTCGTTTCAAACTTATCGTTTCGGTTGTATTTACAAACAAACAAACAACAAACAAATTATAAACAAAATAATGATGATGATGATGATGATGATGAATCGCGTGATTTTTCGTTTCGAACGGAAAAATTTTTTTTTTTAAATCCAACCATAAAGTGATTAAATTTCTTTTACAATGACAAAGGATGAACGGTGAATAGACTGGTATTAACAAGCAGATGCTCTTTTGTTCGGAAGAAGGACCCCGAAGAAGGAAAAAGATGAAGAAAAAAATAAAAAAGGAAAAAAAAAAGGTTGAAAGAAGAACCATCTGCCATTTTTTTTTTTTTTTTTTTACCTCGGGACCTTTAACGCAACGCGTTTCATTCAATTTTAAGGGGGTTGATTAAGGCAAAACGGTTCATTGACATATTTTTTTTTTTTTTTTCAGGGTAGTATCAAATTATGAATTCAATTCACGAAATGGAATCACGTGAGAGGAAAAATAAAAAAAAACACGGATACGGTTCTGAACGTGTACCGACATTCAGCCCTTCCTTCCTTATTCAATAATACGCGTATTATACGTTAAAAAGGATTTCTCACGGCACGGGTCAATCGCTCTATACGTAGAGAAAAAAAAACGATAATGATGATGATGATGATGATAATGATAATAATTAAATTTTACTCACCGTGAGACGGAAGTGGAGATCCGAATCCTTCGCCGTCCGATGCCGGAGATAAAGAACCACCCGGTGCGGGATGTGACGAACAGTGAGGAGCCGTGAAAGCGCTCGAACATCCGTGTCGTCTGCTCAATATTGACATGGGTCTTTGGTGAGAAATCGAACCGTGGCTCATGTAATGATCCGGAGGCGGACGATGTTGTCCGATTCCGCACAAATGATGGTGATGATGCGGGGGAGGAGGCAAATGCGTGTGAGGCGGAGCTCCAGCCGGGGGTTGCATGTTCGACAGAGCCGACAGCGGAGTGTAGGATTTTTGAATTCTCGGCGATGAACAGTTCGTGGGCTCCGTCGGCGGAGGCGTCTGGAAAACGTAATAATTACAATCGATTCGTCTTCTTTACCCTCCCCCCCAAATAAAAAAAAAAAAAAAAAATTCTTACTGCTACCTACCTGTTCGGAAGCCGTACTCGTTTTGAGAACGGCCGTCGCTTCCGTTTGCGTGTGACTCGTGCTCGATATCCTGTATTGCATTCCGGCAATGCTGCAGAATCCCTCGTGATGAGTGCTCCGAGTGCTGTTGACGTACACGCCCGTTATCGTGACGTCCGTGTCTTGGTTTACTATGACGGCAACTTTCTTATTCGAACCCCCCGTGTTTCTGAGTTCTATTAATTTCCTTTGACCGTTATCGGAATCACTTTTATACTCGTATTCGTCAGTCTTTTCCTTTCCTCCGCTGCTCATTTTTTCAATGTTTATGTTTTTCATGTTTTCCTCGCAAAATTTTCTTTTCAAATATTTTTTCTTATCGTCTTTTCCGCACATCAATTCGATCGTTTCGCTTTTATACTTTCCATCTCCCGTTTTACCCTTTAATTTTCCGTCGATGAATTTTTTCGGCGGATATCCCAATTTTCCGACTTTATCCTTTTCTTTATCCACGTTTATCTCGTCATTTTTTTCCTTTTCGAAAACTTTCGTCGACAAATCTTTTTCCAATGCGAATTCCGCGAGTATGGGACTCGGACTGTTTCTCTTTTCCTTCGATGTTTTCTTGAGACTTTCGACTTTCGTTTTCCAAAAATGTTTCTTGTGCCTGTACTCGACGCATTCGGTCGGAGTCCCCGATTCCGATTCTTTGTTTTTCCCTTCTCCTTGCTTATCCGATTCCGTTGATTTTTTACTCGTGCTTTTTCCGGTTCCGGCACTTTCTCTCTCGTCCGTGGAATATCGGTAGCTGTCTTCGTTCGACGACGACGCGTCTTCCGTCGAAGTTCCCGAACTGTCTTTTCTACCGGATCTTTTTTCCGTCGAATAACTGGCTGCGAGTATGGCCGATGCGTTTAAACTCGCCATCCTCTTTCTCACGACCATGTCTTTTAAATCCATCGTGAGGCCGATTTCATTGTTTCTCCGACGTTTTCGAGTTTTGGAATTGTCTCGCTTGTTCTCGCTTTCTTTTTTCAACATTTTTTGACGGTAGCTCGGCTGAAGGGGCAATTTCTTTTCTTTCGGTTTATCCGTGTCGCTGTGACTTTCGTCTGACGAAACCGACGACAGAGAAGTCGTCGAATCACCCGCGAACATATCCCAATGTTTTCCGGCTCCCCTAGTTCCGGGCGTTCCTCTCAGAATTCTCTTATTCACCACGACGCCGTCGATTTTCTCACTCTCGGAATCTTTTCCCGATGATTTCCTTCCGGTCATTCCTTTCTTGTCCGATTTCCCATCTTTTTTATCTCCTTTTTTCTCATCCGGTTTCATGACTTGCGCCAATTTTTCGATTTCGGCCAAAACACCTTTGCTCTCGTTCTCGTACAAGCAATGAACTTTTGCCAAAGCGTTAAGACTCGCAACTCTGTGCCTTTTGGGCCCGCTCCAAAATCCGAAAAGTCTCAACCTTTTGGCTCTCTGTTCGGGATCGTGACTCGTTTTTCCCGGCGTATCGGATTTTTTCTTTTTCGCATCGGGCATGGTTTTGATGCTCCTTCCAAGTTTCTTAGCCATTATCCTTTTCAATTCCATGTCTTCATCTGTGTCGGACTCTTCTGTTTCTTTTATGACGATTTTTTTGTCTCTCCCAGCGGATCCTTCTACATTTTTTTTATAAAAACTATTCGAATTTTCACCCTTTTCTTCTTTTTTAACTTTACTCACTTTTTTACTTTTGGAAATCTTTTCCGAATCGTCGCTTTTGTCTTCGATCTTAATCCTATTTTCATTTTCGAATTTGACTCCTTTACCGTTCGACTCGGCATCCAATTTTGATTTTTTCGTTTTCTTTTGAAGTATGTTGAGAGTCAATTCGTCGGAATTAGAACCGTCCGTTTCTGATCCGATTTGTTTCGATTTGGGAGATTTGGCACCTTTGAGTGAAACTTTTTTCTTCGCATGACTTTGCATGACTTTTCCGACAGTTTTCTTTTTTAAAGGCAACTTCGTTTTAATTGAATCTTTTTTCGTCGCCGAACTTTTATGAACGTTTTCCTTCGACGTCGACGACTGATCATCTTTATTACTCTTGTCCGAACTCTTTTTCCCATCTTCGTTGGATTTTTTCGACGATTGCGTTTCCGTCATTTTCGATTTTGCCTTTTCCTTTTTAACGACGGCCGTCGTTTTTTTCATCAACGTTTTTCCCGTCATTTTTTTTTTCGATTTTTCCGATTTTTGACTCGTCATTTCCGTTTTGGTTTTACCCGAGTCTGGATTTTCGGATTTGTGTTCCGTGTCCGTGGATCCCGCCGTGGATTTTCTCCGCGTTCCGATCCCTTTTCCGAAAGCGAGTGAAATTTCTTCATCTTTCAATACTTTGATTAAATTTTCCGTATGGTCCAAAGTTGGTTTTTCACTCGTTTTTTTACTATTATTATTATTATTATTATTATTATTATTATTATTGTTATTATTTACGCTCTTGTTCTTTTTCGGTTCGCTTTTCATTTTTTTTATTTTAGTCTTTTTCCATCCTCCTTTTAATTTTTTAACCGGGTCTCCTCCCTTTTTGCTCGATACTTTTATTTTCGACGCTTCGGTTTCGGTCGACGCGGATTTTTTAGATTTCGTCACTTCGACCGACGAACTCGTTTCTCCTCCTTTGCTTTTCGACGAATTCGAACCGTCCAATTCCCTTTTGACTTTTCCCATCAAACTCTCCGTCAATCTTTGATTTTCTTTTTCATTTATGACAGTTTCCGCGACCATTGTCGTGATTCGACTGAAAGTCTCGCACAACGTCGGAGGACCATCGTTATCCGACACTTTACCACACTTTTTCACGGTTTTCTTAGATGAAGAAGGAGGAACAACACCGCCACCGCCACCACCGCTACCACCACCAGCAGTAGTTTTTTTATTCGTTTTCAATTTTAATTTTTTCAATTTTTCATTTGGTTTTTTGATTTTTTTCACGACGGTCACGCTGCTCGTTTTTTTCGTCACGACATTACATTTGTATTTTTTTTTCTTTCCCTTTTCCGATTTGTTTCCTTTGTCCGATGATTTTTTAACGTATTTTTTCACCTTTAAACACTTCACCTTCGTCAAATTTTTCTCTTTCTGTTTCTTTTTTTTTTGCGACGTTTTATTAACCGTATCACTTTGAATTCTTTTTGCAGAGCCGCCACCTCCGCCGCCGCCGCCGCCGCCGCTCCCAGATTTCTGCGTGATACTAGTCAATTGTTTCGAACTGCTACTACTCGAACCACCGCTGCTACTGACATTGCTTTTGTTACTGCTGCTGCTGCTGTTGATATTTGGCTTGATATGAATGTGACGCATGATTTACAAAACCGTATCCCGGTTTTTTATAATTTTTCTTTCTTTTTTTTGTTTTTATTCCCAAGGAAATCGAGTCGAACCGAGGGTTCCACGACGATTCGCGAACGTAATAAACGTCGCTCGTCTTTTGTCATAATAACAACAACAACAAAAACGTTTGAACGACATTTTTTTAGTTTTTGGTTTTCGACGAAGCTGAAAATTAAATAAAAAAAAAATAAAAATTTTTTAATTATATTGTTAAACGATTTAACCAATGACATTTTATAATAATTTTTCTTTTTGTAATTTAAAAATATATGTATGTTTAAAAGAAAAAATTTTAATTGCCGTACACAAAAAAAAAAAAAAAAAAAAAATTTTTTTTTTAATTGCAACAAATGATAATTACAGACCGTAAGGAAAATTAATAAGAAACTCGCCAAGTTTTTATAATTACTCAACTCAATAGTAATAATAATAATAATAATAATAATAATGGACCCTGGATCATCATACAAATATCTGGGGATTGAAGAAAATTTTGGGATAGCCAACAAGGAAATTAAACCTCGATTGAAAAGAGAATATTTTAAAAGATTGAGGCTTATATTACAGTCGGAACTGAATGGAAGAAATAAGATAACCGCCGTCGGCACATTAGCAGTTCCTGTAATAGAATATAGTTTTGGCCTCGTAGACTGGACGAAAGAAGAAATCACGCACCTAGATAGAAGGACAAGAAAAATATTAACCATGAATGGTGCGTTACATCCAAAGGCTGATGTGGATAGATTGTACGTCAGCAGGAAAGATGGAGGAAGAGGATTAAGACAAATAGAAGCGGCACACCAGAATGCCATTATTGGAATGGGAAAATACATAGAATCCCATCAAGAGGACCCTATTTTAGCCCAAGTTATACATGCAGAAGAAAAAACTACAAAAAAAGGAGTTCTGAAAAGGGCAAAACAAATCGTCCAAGAAAATAAAGAAAATGAGATAATGGAAGAAGGGCAACTTGCAACTTATAATAGCAAAGCCCAATCTCAGAAGAAATTAAAAGGCAAATGGGAACAGAAAAAATTACATGGGCAATACCTAAAAAGAATAAATGCCGACGATATTAATAAGAAGAGCACGCACAATTGGCTACGACGTGGAAAACTTAAAATAGAAACAGAAGCGTTTATTACAGCGGCTCAAGATCAGGCATTGCGGACCCATAACTATGAAAAAGTAATTCTCAAAGTCCGCCAAGATGACAAGTGCCGAATTTGCCAATCACAATCGGAAACCATCGATCATTTAATTTCCGGTTGTCCGATACTGGCAAAACATGAATACTTAGAAAGGCACAATAAAATATGTCAATATCTCCATTGGAATATATGCCGAGAATATGGAATGGATGGATTACCCAAGGAGTGGTACAACCACATTCCAAGCCCGGTTACGACAGTAGGTCCATGCACAGTTCTATATGATCAACAAATCCACACTGATAGAACTGTGCCAGCTAACAAACCGGATATCATACTCAGGCATAATGGGGAAAAATGGTGTAAGTTAATTGAGGTATCCGTGCCGGCAGAAAAAAACACCACAGCCAAAGAAGCAGACAAAAGGCTGAAATACAGAAATTTGGAAATTGAAATAACCAGGATGTGGGGAACAAAAACTGAAACGATTCCGGTCATCGTGGGAGCATTGGGAGCCATGCCAAATTCAATAAAAGGAAATTTAAAGAAGATTATGAAGAACCTAAAAGAAGAAACCATCCAGGAAATCGCACTATGTGGGACGGCCCACATTCTTCGGAAAATATTATAAATAGCACCACCGATATTCGAGTATTTGTCCCTAAGGAATCGGGTAGAGACCTGGGATAAATGCTTAAAAACCCCGACAAATAAGAGCCTTGTCGTGTTTAAGAGTGACCATAATAATAATAAATGACACGCTCTCTCTCTCTCTCTCTCTCTCTTCTCCCTTTCACAAATTAACACTTAAATTTACTTTATAATAATAATAATAACGACGATATTTAAAAAATTATGTAAAATAAAAATATAACCAACGAAACAATATTAAAAAAAAAAAAAAATCAGTTATTAATGTATAATAATAATAATAATAATAATGATGATGATGATAATAATAATGATAATGATGATGAATTTCATTAGTCACGCATTCTTTTTTTTTTAACAACATAAAAAAAAAAAAAAAAACTAAAAATAAGTAAATATATATATATATATAATTTACACACGCGCGCACGTGCACGCGCACTCACGCACGCACAATATTCTTTGACACTCCTTCCCTCCCTTTTTTTAGTATTATTATTATTATTATTATTTATATAATCAACCGCCGTATATTTTTATTCTTTCTTTTTCTCCCTCTCTCTCTCTCTCTCTCATTCTTACTTTACGCTAAATATTTAAAAATGGACGTTTTTTTTTTTTTTTTTGTAAAAAATAAAATATTTTGATGGATTTATTTTTGAAGATCGATCGATTAAAATGAAAAAAAAAAAAAAAAAAAAAAATCTAAAAAAACACGACACAAAGAGAGAAAGAGAGATAGGGAGAGAGGGAGAGAGAGAGAGAGGGAGATAGGAGAGAAGGGGGGAGGGATTTTTCTCGAAAACTTTTTGTTGTAAACATTTTAATAATAAAATGACGACGATGTTTCGTTGAATAAGACAAAAAAAAAAAAAAATTAAAAAGGATGCTCCGAAGGAACGAAAGGGTGTACAGGTGCGTATTCTCAAGGGGCAGATGTCCAGCAGGAGGAAGAAGAAGAAAAGAAACTCGTTCGATTACATAACGGGGTCGCAAAGTGAATCGATTTCGATTCGATAAGACGAGGAAGTTTTCCAATTTTTTTTTCTTTTTTTCTTTTCACCGGTAGCGAGTGAGGGCAACAAACAGGTGCAAACAAATAATAATAATAATAGTAATAATAATAATAATAATAATAATAATAATAATAATAATAATAATATTTTGACTTACCGATTAGATTAAATCATTTCGACAAATCGTGGCGGGTGGAAGGAATGAATGATTACTTGACAACAAAACGTGCACGTGCACACGGGGGTTGTGTTAGTTTATTTTATTTTTTTTTCATCACCGCCATCATCATCATCGTCGTCGTCGGCGTACCTGAAAAATACAAAAAAAAAAAATTTTGATGCAAATAAATAAAAAAAAAAAAGAAAAACAAAAAAGGATAAAACGTGCGAAAGCGTTAAGAAAAATGACGTTAAAACATTTTCCATCCTATTTTTTTTTTATTCACATTTCCCCATGATGATAATGATAATGATAATGATAATTTTTCATCCCTGACATTATTAAACAATCAAATTTTTTTTAAAAAAAGAAATTCACGCGAGGATTAAATTTATGGATGGAAAAACAAAAAACTAACTCACTCAAACTTTAAAAGAGTGCGCGATAAATACAATTTTGCTGCCAACTTTACAACACAAAAAATTTAAAAAAAAAATTTGTTAAATTTTTAATCTAAAATTTCATGCAAAAAAAAAAAAAAACATTTTCGGAAAAAGGTACGAAAACAAAAAAAAAATAAATAAATAACATTCAAACAAAAAATCCTTAATTAAGTACGTCACATCATTAATTATAACTCGTACCATAAAAAAAAAAAAAAATAATAATAATAAAATTTTTTTTTTCCGTTCCTTTCAAAGATTCGACTGGAAATTTTATTAATTTTTTACAACATGGAATTTAACAGGGAGAAGGGTGGGGGGCGGGAAAGTGACTGGAAACAATCGAGATGAATAAATCATTTTTACAAGCGTACGGGAAAAAGGTAAATAAAGACATCGTAATCTCGAATACATAAATAATATTTAACACAAATAACCATTGCCATTATTATTATTATTATTGCTTTTTTTTTGTTTTTGGTAGATAATTAAAAAACAATAAAAAAAAAGAAAAGGCATTAAAAATAAAAATAAATTAAAAAAAAAAAAAAGAAAAACAGGCACAGGTGCGAGTGATTCGAAGCAGACGAAAAAAAAAAAAATTGCTACGAGTGAGATACGGTTTTCCCCCGACTTTCATATCATTGAAGTTTTTCAAATAAGTTAATTCAATGGTCATTGAAAGAGAGAGAGAGAGAGAATGAGAAAGGAAGAGAGAGAGAGAGAGAGAGAATGAGAAAGGAAGAGAGAGAGAGAGAGAATGAGAAAGGAAGAGAGAGAGAGAGAGAGAATGAGAAAGGAAGAGAGAGAGAGAGAGAATGAGAAAGGAAGAGGGAGAGAGAGAGAGAGACAGACAACCTCCGTAACATTTTAATTGATTTCAATAAATGACCCACTAATTATTTATTCCATAAAAAAAAAATCTTTAATTTATTCCTAATCAATAATTTAAATATTATTAATAATAATAATTAATTAAAAAATAAATAAAACTTTACCTTCACGAAGGTTAATTATTAATTAATAATCGATAAGTATATTAATGAATCTCTTTCTCTCTCTCACACGCACACACACACACACTCATAACTTTTACTTTTAAATGTCGAAATACTCATACGAGTAATATTATTATTATTATTAATTTTTTTTCATTTCATAAGTATCTCTAAATTTTAAAAACAGTCTCTGACTGTTCATTTTAAGTCTCCCTCTCTCTCTCTTTTTTTTCTCTCTCTTTTTTTTTTCTCTCTCTCTCTCTCTTTTTTTTTCTCTTTCTCTCTTTTTTTCTCTCTCTCTCTTTTTTTTTCTCTCTCTCTCTTTTTTTTCTCTCTTTTTTCTCTTTCTCTCTCTTTTTTTTTCTCTCTCTCTCTTTTTTTTCTCTCTCTCTTTTCTCTCTCTCTCTCTCTCTCTTTTCTCTCTTTCCCTCTTTCCTTCTCTCTCTCTCTCTTTCTTTGTCTCTCTCTCTCTTTCTTTGTCTCTCTTTTTTCTCTTTCTCTCTCTTTCTCTGTCTGTCTCTTTCATTATTTTTACCTTCTTGCCTTTTTTA